TTGTGTTTTTCAGCACTGTGCTTGTTCATCCAATTCTTCAGCTGAACTGAGACACAGGTGGGACGACTCCCAAACATATACTAAGTCAGGCAAGTCGTCAGAATCAGGAACCAGGTTCCTTCTGCCTCTGGGCACAGCTACACACAGGTAACGCTTGTCAGTTCTGCCAACAACAGCCATGCAATTGCAGGTGTGTAGGACATCTCGAATGGCTCACTATCACACAGGTGGAGCTAAAAAGAAAGCCCTTTGAAGAAGAAGAGATGAGATAGACTTGCAAACCAAGAAACATAGAAAGAGTTACTAAACTATCTTTCCATGAACGGAGCATTTACCTTTTTAATTATGCATGCCTTTTATCTTGTGCCCTGTACATAGTTAGCTAAGATTGTGCTTTTGGGAGTTTTTGCCTAAGCCTTTCTTTTCAAAACAAATGCTTCGTTGCTTTTTCTTTTGCAAATAAAATGATACCATTAGTTCAGTGCTATTGAAGAGCTGGGCAGTAACAAACAATGTGCAGCAGCAACGCAGGAAGAAGAGGGGGAAGAAAAAGCAAGTATTTGTTAAAAGCAGAAGAGGGAAAAAAAAGCATTTTCTAAACAGGAAAGAAGTAGCTTGGCAGCAAATTTTAAAATGCATTGTCAGGAAAAGCTTCTGTGACAGGAAAAAATAATGATCCGACTGCCCGTTTTTGAGAAAGAAATAAACAGTAAAACTGCTTTCTCATATGAATAACACTTACATTCTCCCACAGTAAGGGAATGTGACTGAAATTGCCAAGATAAAGAGAAAACCCAGGAAATTCCAGAATTAAGGTTGTCTGAGAAGGCTTCACATGGCCAGTCTGTGTGTATGCATGATGAGAGAGTCTTAATCACAAAAAAAAAAAAAAAAAAAAAAAATCACAAAATAATTTGCCCAAAGGACCATCCTTGCTTAGTGCAAAGGACAGATGGTTGGTTCTCACTTAATCAAAACCTGTTCTGTGTTTTGTTTTCCCCTTAGCGAGTGACCGTTTCCCTCATTTACGGTTTACTGTGCAAGCCCTGCTCTGAAAACTAATGCACTAATGTTTTCTATGGGCTTTTCCAGATTGCTCATCATTGCAGCCTTGACTTTCTTAAAAACTATCAAAGCATTTATGTTTACAATAGCATTATGAGGAGAGGGCTGATTTGGCTCTATGACACAAGAGAAATTCATGTCAAAACATAACTGCTCATTTTACATGCCCATTTGAGGATGCCTGGCTTTTCAGGGTAAAACAGCATCAGGTTGCATACCATACCTTTCAAAGTACAGAGGTCAACATCTAGGTGCTGCAACCAGCAGATTGATCTTGATCTGTCAGATCAACTGTCTTCCTCAAAACTTCTGGTTTTTGTTCATTAAATCGCCTACAATAGAATTGGTCTGATTTTTTGTATCTGCTTTTGTCTTGTTGTGCAGTTCTAGAGACAATGGAGAAGACGGGCACGTCTCAGTGTGAGATAGCAGGTATTCTGTGACCACCATCAGATGATTAGCTTTGCCTGGATGTTTTCCTCCTTCAAAACAGCAAAAGCTAGGCAAGGTGAAGCCCATCCTTGACGGTTTGCCAAGTGCACCCTGCAGGAGGGAGCTACCAACTTTTGCCCCAGCCCTCCACAGCCTGTCCTTACACTCACATCCTGGAAGCCCACTTGAGCACCTCTCCTGTATTATCTGTGTTGTGGAACTATGGAGTTAATTCTGAAAACAACATCTGAAAGTCCTGTAAGTACCTTGAGGCTAATGCCCACTCTTAGTGTAATTCTGTGCATGAATCTCTCCCCAGGCGTTATCCTACTGATGTCCCGAAGGCATCATTATATTCCTGAAATCAAAGAAGCTGCACGTGGGAGGAAAATACGGACACAAAATTCATCAGTCAAAGGTAAATAATCACAGGAGCAAACGGCTGCAAGATACGTCCTTAATTACTTAGGGTTAAACAGCAGCAGCATTACAGATGAAAATATTTTGTTAACCCCTCATCCTGGGAACACTTACACAGTAAGCTATTATTCTGCACAAGAAGAGGAAGCAAAATGTGGACGGTGATGCTTAGAAACATTTTCAAATCAATAGGAAATAAAATTAAAAAGCAAGAACAAACAATCCATTCAAAGGAAAAAAAAAAGCTGTAATTTTTTAAAGTTAATAGTAGTTTCAGCTATTTCAAGTATCTCTGAGATGCTTCTGCTAATTTCTATTTGCAATTACATTTCCTTCTTTTTTCACCTTTCCTGTCTTACTGCACGAAAACCCTGCACTAAGCACAGGAAAAATTGACTAACTGGCAGTAGTGAGAAGGTGTAACTGACTAAGTGGTGACACAAACAAAGTGCTTTCAAATTCACAGATCAAACTAGCTGGGAGAAAAAAAAAGGTATAAAAAAATTCTTCAATTCCTTTCTTGCACACTCTGCCTTCCATAAAAAATTATGCAGTTTAAAACCTTCTTGCGAAGGGAAAAAGCAGCTTTTTTGGTTAACAGCACTCTTATTTCAGGGGGAAAAGGACATACAACATAAATAAGGAAATTGGTCTTGCATTTATGAAATCATGTACCAGATTCTCAGCTGGTGCAAAACAGCAGTACTTTCCTTGCTTAGGGGATGTAATTCCACTTTATATTAGCCAAGGATTTAATCCAAAGAGATTTTCTCTCATAAATATAAGAACATATTCAGACCCACCTCAATTTAGACATTAAGTGTACCAGATTGAAACTGAAGTATTGTATTTCAAAATAGGTTTGCAACCTCTTCTTGCTGTATTTTATCCGATAGCCTCTTTGCTGCTCAGAAATAGCAGAAGATGTATACATTCACAGAATCATTTAGGTTGGAAAAGACTTTCAATGAAGTTTACTAGATTTGTGATACCTTCAAGGTCTACTTACAGACTTTGATGTGTGCTTTATTAAAGCAGAAAGTGCTTGCGTAGTACACTGATATAAAACTGTTTAAAATCTCTAGGCAACATCCACTCCCCATCTTCTCCATGAACCAGGTTCACATACATATGCATAAACCAACCAAGCTTGCCTATATGACAGGGACAGAAAGACACCTTAACTTCCATGCTCACGTTCAGATCGTCATTTCACCTTCGTGTAGGTGGGTGCCAGGTTTTAAGGCAATATCCCAAGTTTTTAACTCTTCATTTGTGAGTGCTGCTCTAAGAATTGTCTTGAAGAGTATTATGGAAGCAGTTGTGTGTTCCTGCTGGCCCTCTGCTGAAAATTGTTGTGGCTGACAGCTTAGAGGGGTGACACTTTCTCCACTGAAAAAAACCCATAAAATTCCAAATTGAGCATAGCTAAGTACAGCTAAGTCAGTTAGGG